ATATGGATTATGGATTTACACAGTATAACATTTTTCCTTCAAGAAATATGTTTTTATTGCATGTTATAACTGCAGTAATGGATCGCCTATGTGTTCATCAGGTTATCTTTGTCATGGAGTTTTAGCATTTGAGATCACCTATATCAATGCTTTATTATTTGCTGCAGGTTGGAGTCCAATGAAATTTATTTTGTGGGGTTCATTGTTCCCAAACAGAGTTTCCAATGGAAAGTTAGTTTCAATTGTTACACTCAGATAAAGTCAAGATGAAAGTCCTAAGTCCTGGAGAGTAACAAGACACTCATAGGAGATTACATGCCTTTGAGGTGTACCATTCTCATGTTCAGAAAGAACGGCAGTTTGTGCGGCTTCCTTTCTTGTCAGGCTTAGCTCGGCGACGATGACACGTCACTCTATTTTGTGTGTTTGTCGCTGTGGTGTTGGTGGGTGTTTCGGGCTATCCCTGGGCTGTACTTAGAAAGTGTGCACACTGCTATATATGGTTAGAAGTTTCTGTAGAGTACTCGATGTGATTTATAAGTGCCCATAGTGTTACTGCTTTTATGTGTCAAGTTATCTTCTCTTCATTTATGCACCCAAGCCTGATTCCATTTCGTGAAGGCAAAAGAGGGCTATCATCACAGCAATGCTATGCTTTGGAGTGTAGATTTTGTAAGCCTGATTCCATTTGGTGAAGGCAAAAGAGGGCTATCATCGCAGCAATGCTATGCTTTGTAGTGTAGATTTTGTCCCTTTTATTTGAAGTACTGATACGTGTGCACTTTGGTTTAGACAAAACAAACTGTCCAAATTGATTTTTTCAGTACTATGTACGATTTTTTTTCTTTATATACGCGCGTGCGGCGCGTGCATGTTGACTAGTAACAATATAATTTGAAGTTCAGATTTCAGCCAGCAAGGAGTAGGGGCTTCTACTGTAGTTTCCGCCCACTGGCCACTATGAACATAACACGGTAAAAGTATACAATACCTAGTCATACTGAACATGCATATTTAGCTCACTCTAGGATACCGTCTGTATTTCTCAAAACTGCACATATAGTTTTAACAGCAAGAAAACTAAAACCTAAAGCAGCTCCATAAAATGCTCAAGAATCCAAGCCAATGTGATACGCACGAGAAGGATCAGATAATCACGCAATAGTCAATTAATCTAATTATAATACTCAATTTGGTCAATTCTGTCCAACTAAGGTCGCTTTTTCCACAATGATTATTTGATTAGCATCATAATGTATCTGAAACAATTATTTCCTATCATACAGACAAAAAACATTATGTATCTATATCTATATCTATATCTATATTCTATATCTCTAATAATAAAGCACGGATCGGTTCTTCCTCCGTAATTTTCGTCCGTCCGTCCTTGGTTAAACATGTTTCGTACGTCCTGGGCCGTCACCTGTGTGGGCCGAAGTACGTCTGGTCTGTACTTTTTTGTTACTAATTAAGACGACGACTGTGAGCAGCGAAAAATAAATAGTCCCACCTCGCTTATTTGCAATCAATCCCATCAGTTTATATACTTGGGCGGCTTTGCGGCATCAACCAGCAGATGAAGGGAACATGAAAAAGGAATTAAGCCCAGTAGAAAGAGGGAGAAAAAGAAATAAAATCCTCAACTCTGAATAAAATCCTCAATGGAGAGAGGGGTCAGGAGAGGGAGGAGATGGGGCGATAAGAACGAACGAAGGGGGGATGGGGCGATGCAATAAACAGTCTGACAGTCTGACATTTTTAATACACTGTGTGTCGTCGGTCAATATGACGTCTATGAATCCAACGTGGCTAGAAAAGCAAAAGCGCCTAATGGGTTAGCGTATATCAAAATTTCCAACACAGTAAAAGCGTCAACTTAACAAGCGCGTATGGGTGGCGTCTTCCCCGTTCCTTCCTCTTCCCCGATTCAATCTGCACCGCCGCCTCGCCCTGCCGCCCTCCTTCTCCATCCCGCGACCGGCAGCCTCCTGCAACAGCAGCCCAACCCAGCGAGCTCCTTCTCCATGGCCGCGGGTGCTCGTGCTCGACATCTCCACGCCGGCACCTTCTCTTCTGGCCTTCCCCGCCTCCCGCTGCGACAACCTCCTCTCCTGGGCGCCGCCGGGCGGTCATCCCGCGACCTCGACCACAACGGCAACTCTTATGCCTCCCTGCTCCTCGAGGACATCCAGAGCTATCACCAGCACAACGCGAGCGACACCGCCACAGCGGCACCGGCATTCTTGCTCCCGGCGGGCGTGCCCAAAGCCTGCTCCATTCTTGAAGCGGTCACGGACCTGAACTCCTCGCCATCTGAGAACAGGAGCTTCGAGCTGGACCGGTCGGCCGACGACAAGGGGTCGGCCTACGTAAGCTGCTACAGCACCGTGAAGGTGGTGGGAGCGGGCACGCACGTCTTCGAGTCCGAGGTCGTTGTCAAGGATGACTTCATGGAGCCAAGCCAGCACAAGTATGTGTCCGTGCGCCATGGGGCACTGCCGGAGCGCCTCCGGTTCCCCTGCTCGCCCTGCGCTCTCCGGCCAAGGTGCTCACTCAACATCGCGACCACGCCTTGGCCTCCGATGCGCTCGAGCAGAGCAGCACCAACCCATTCACCTGTGCCGTGCTCGAGCGGGTCGGGTCGCCCTTGCTGCTCCGTTGTGGTCTAGGTGGTGGCCGTGCTCGAGCGTAGTAGCACCAACCCGTCCATGCCATGGCCTCCGATACGCTTGAGCGGAGCATCATCAACCCATCAGCTCGTCACACTAGCTACACTAGCTACTAGCTGGCACTCTGCACACTAGCTACTAGCTGGCCAGTGACTCGATTGCGACGAGCCACCGCCGCCATCACCTCCTGATCCGGCGACTGGACCGAGCCACGCCGCTCCAGTCACTACTCAGCCCTCATGGGAACTCCACCGGCGGAGATCCTCAGCCAAGGCAGGGTCGGGGCCGAAGCGGCGCGAGGGCGGCCATGGCACGGCGTGGTTGGGGCGGGCGGAGGAGAACCGGCGGGCCCGTGCCTCGGCGGACGAGAATGCCCGGCCGGCCATGACTCCAGACCTGGAGGCGGGTTGGGGCAGCGGCATGGGGCGTGCGTGACTGTCGTACTAACCATCTAAGCCGAAGTTGGTCCTTAGGTCAAAGCGAAACCGACAAATCCATGTATGGTCAGGCACGAGTAATGCTACACTTACGAAAGAAGTTAACGTAATGTTACGTGATTAGGCAGTTGGCAGGTTTTGATTGGTGTTAGGCGGAGGCAGGGCCCACCCCCACTGAAAATCGGGGGGCAGAGAATTAGGGAAGGGAAGTTTACGTAGCCTGTTCGTAGTCCTTCGTAGGTGTAGGATTATCGGTCAGGCACGCATGCACCGCAATAATAGACATTAAAGTAGGATATACATTTTTTTTCTAGATGTCGGCATGCACCTTCGTGCTCTCGTCGTGCTGCGCTAATGGGTGTTTTCGTGGACACGTCAATTTTTCTCCCGTTGCAACGCACGGTTGTATTTGCTAAGGGAGAAAACTCTTCCTTTCAAATGAAACGACCAATTATCTCTAAAAGACCAACATAGTAAAAATCCGTTTGAATTGAAATCTTTTAAAATTTCTAGAAAAAAATGATTACCTATTAAACTCTCAAATATACTAGTATACAACAATTCCACCCTCTGTATATGCCAACACCATTCCTCTTCCACCTGGTGATAGTGCTAAGCTGAAGGACGTGCCATTGAAGGACATCCCTACGACTTTCTCAACTATATACTTCATGGTTCGGACAACAACCGTCCTTTTTTTAACAATGGACACTGAGCTGTCTTTTTAAGATAAAAATTCCTAAAAATGTTCCATTTTAAAAAATACATTGAAAATTATTCATCAAATTAAAATATTAATAATTATTTTTCAAAAAATCATGTGTTCAAATTTTTTTCCTTCAAAACATGTTTAAGTTCTAATAAAAAAATAAAATGCTTGATTTTTTAAAATAAAGAAATATTTGTGATTGTTTGATAAGCATAAAATAAAATTGCTTGATAAACTATTCCACGCACCACTACTCTTCCATTAGATGAAGGATGTTAGGGTTGCATCTTCATGTCCATACTTTTTTTTGCGGGGTCACGTCCACACTTGATGCTTCGAAAAGCGATAATAGTGTAACCTTATTATTGTTATTTATCAAAATTGGATATACTAAATGGCGTGTTGGCACACGGAACATGTTTTACTATTTATTACGCCCGTTGCAACGCACGGGCATTTGTACTAGTCTTCTCTAAAACAATGAGATTCAATTAACAACCAAACCGAGACAGCAAAGCAGCTGCCAAGGTACAAGCTAGGCACCAGAAAATTTGAACTTTACAACTCTGTTACACGGATACTCCTGGAAGGACGCGTATCCCATATCGGATACGTATCACTATCAGGCCGCCGATACGTATCCATGAAGTATCCGATTTTTTGTTTTTGTTTTTGGTTTTTTGCGAATTTCCGATACCTGGGCTGATACGCATCGGTGCTTTTGGATACAGCCCAGCCCAATAACAATCCTTTTCCCTCTGTCCCTGTCGCCCTAACCTACGACGCCGCACTCCCGCACGCGCCGCATCCTGCGTGGTGAAGCTGCGACTCCCGCTCGCCGCCGCCGGCCACCGGCGACGAGCCTCCGTCTCCGCCTCCTCTCGCCTAGCATCCTCTCCCAAACCCCAAGCTAGGAGCCCTCCGCCGCTCTCCCCTCCCAAACCCCTCCTCGCACCCGCCCAGATCCAAGCGCCCATCTTCCCCTACGCCGCCGCCGCCGCCGCCGCCGGGCCGTCCAAGAGGGGGAGCGAGCGATGGCTCCCTATTAATCTCCATTTCCCCTTCCTCCATCCCCTCCGCCGCTGTCCCCTCCCAAACCCCTCCTCGCACCCGCCCAGATCCAAGCTAGCCCATCTTCCCCTACGCCGCCGCCGCCGCCGCCGGGCTCTCCAAGAGGCGACCATGTTGGAGCTGCCCCTGGTGAAGGGGGACCCCTTCCACCATGTCATGGAGGCGATCCTCGACCTGTCCGATGTGGCCCACGTCGTGTGCACCACAAGGGGCTTGAACCTCCTGGCCGTGGACACCAAACACTTAGCGATCGTCTCGCTCCTCTTCCCCGCCGAGGACTTCAAGGGCTACACCTGCGACGAGTACATCTCCATTGGGATCCCAATCCGCGACTTGGTCAATGCCATCCGCTGCGGCGACGACAAAGACACCATCACCCTCAAGGTCGGCGAAGAAAACTTCGGCACCATTACCTTATCATTCGTGTCGCCCGGTAAGTGCCCGCACGTCTTTTGCACTACCTGCTCTTCGCCCTGACCCTGTGCTGATTTTGTGTTTGTGGAAATGAACAGAGAAGAACACTGTGGATTACGAATTCCGGCTTGTGGATGCCAAACTCGAGCGCTTTCGACTCCCAGATAGGCATTTTTTGAGATCCAAGTACCAGGGCTCTGTCAAAATGCCATCTGTGGAGTTTAGGCGGATCTGCAAGTGCCTCAGTAACTTCGGAGATGAATATGGTACATAGAATTTACCTGGTGATTTATAAGTCTAACTGTTACTGTCGCATGTCTAGTTCTGTACAACCATTTCCATCTCCTGCTGTAGGTGTCATCTCGGTGACTGACGAGGACCTCACATACTTTGCTAAGGGAACAGATGGGGACGTCTACGTGGAGTACAAGCAGGTACTTAAATGATTTGACCCTCTTAGCCCCTCAAATTGGAATGGGTATCATCCTCTGAATATCTGTAAACAATCATATCAGTGATGTGCTGTAGATTCTTAATGCCCTAATGTTGATAGCAAGTGTGCATTCTTGGTTCCTCACCTAGGTTACCTTTTAGCCTGTCTGGCACCAGACTAGCACAACATGCGTACATACTGCCTTAGAAATTCATTGTCTCACTATATACTGTGTTGAGTTGCTAATTCACTTTGTTTGCTAATGTTGCTCTTCTGTGTTTGGAGTATTAATTTAGTCTGCATAACTGGATATGTTATTTTGTCTAGAGCAGAAGCTACATATTTCATAAAGCGGAACATGGCTCTTCATTTGGTTGATTACATTGGTATGGGGTTGAATTAGATGTTTGTTTTTTTTAGTTATTGCTTATTTCCTCCTTAACTGTAAAATCTGGGTGAGGTGGTTAACTACTCTGCAGTGCAAATTAACATCTGTTTATTCTATGAATTTCAATTGGTTCTATCATATGGAGTAACATCTTTAGTATCTTGTGCCATTCAACTACTATTTTAAGAAAATACTGAAGAATGGATCCTGTTTATGCGTATCTGCACTAGTTAGGATGCGTTTGGTTGAAGGTGTCGTATGAATGGGTTGGGACCGTTCAATTTTTTTGGGATTGAACCATTCAATTCATGTGTTTGGCTGAATATAAGTGGTGAGCTAATTATTTAGGACGGGACCACCAGTCATGCTCACATAGTCATGCATGCAAAGGGTGGCCATTTGATTCGACCGATTTGGTTGGGTGGAACGGTTCAGCATCTTCATGGCATATTCTCTTTTTTTGGCTCGAACCATTCATGTGCTTTATAACCAAACATGTCTATTTTCTGAACGATCCCAACCCATTCATGACCGCCCTTGCAACCAAACGCACCCTTAATGGGTCATGTTTGTATCAATGCAGCAAGAAGAAGATACTACTATCTTTAAAATAGATGTGCGAGAACCAGTTAGACTGGCCTTTAATCCGAAGTACTTGAACACCTTCGCCAAGGTGTTCACCCTCTCTGGTCAAGTGAAGCTCTTTCTCTCGAAGACACATCCCCTCATGGTCGAATGCAAAATTGGACAGAAGGGCCGCATCAGATGTTTCGTGGCACCAAAGGTGGAACCAGAGTTCCAAGGGGAAGAGGAAAAGAAAGAGGCCCAAAAAGAAGAAGTTATCAATGTAGGCAAGATGGAATCTGATACCGATGCAAACAAGAATAAGAAGAGAAAGAGAAAGCTAACTGATGACTAGCGGGGGGCAACCAAAAACGTCTTCAGTTAGCATGGAAGTATGTGTAGTAAGAGTCTGTTTGTGACAAGAGAACTTTTAAGTGTCTTTTGTGTACTTTGAACTATGATGTCTGTACTAAGGTGTGATCTATGAACTTCTGTGTTGCCGTCGAATTCTGAACAATCTCGTTTGTGAACCGTTCCGACTTCCGAGCGTCGACTTTTGTGCCATCCGATAAGGGTTCTAGAAACGGACTAAGGTTTTTTTTGTATTATCTCTTCTCTACTCTCTACTTCTCTGATGTGAAAAGTTTTTTCGCCATGGTTTGGTTTGGTCCATCGTCTGTACCACGGGTCCTGCCTTGAAGTTTTTGTTCCTTCAAATGAGCAATGAAGACTGAAGCACCTAATAATTCCTCTTGTCTGGAAACAACTTTCGTCAATTTTTCTGGAATCGAACTGAGGTGTTCATCATGATACTGGCCTGTTGATGTTCATCATACTCTGCCTGATTGTATTGTACCACGAAAACAAATACCCCTCTGCGAGATTGCACTGACCAGCTGCTACACGACTCAGCAGCGGTCGAGCGAGCGTGCGTCGCATCGGTATAGGCGAGCTTTGTCTCTGGCTCGGCCGGCCTCGGGTCGTTCCGGGTTGGGCTCGACCACTTGCCTCGGTTGGGCTCCGTGATCGCATTGGGATGGGCCTCGCCTTTGCTTTGCGTGTGCTTCACTTATCTCTCCTTCTCTATATATATACATGGGGAAAAGGAGATGCCATCTCAAAGAGGGCAAAAAAAAAAAAAAGTGTAGAGCTGCCATGATCAGCAAGTGACTGATCAGTTTTGCCGGGTTGCGATTCAATGATGAGAATGGATTAGAATATTGCTGGTACCGGCTCTTGACTTGTGATGAGTCATGCTGATATGGACAGGAGACAGCTCTTCTAGCAACTACTCCATCTATTCGGACTGGAACAAGGAGTTCAGCGCATGGATCAGGCTTCTTCACAAATGGTCAAAGAGTAGTACAGTACAATTTTGGACGCAATGGCAAGGTGGTGGGCTTGATGAAGTCCAGGACAAGTGAGGTCAGCTCCTGCTCATGGCCGGTGTTGGGCTTGATGAAGTCCAGGACAAGTGAGGTCAGCTCCTGCTCATGGCCGGTGTAACGGTGGTTGGCACCCGCGATGATGCGCAGCTCATGGGGGATGTTTGCCGCGAACAGCCGGGCGTCTTCCACCGGTACGATCTTGTCCTTGGAGCCGTGGATCGTGAGGACCCTGCACGTCATAACAGATTTTCCTTATGGATTCCTTCGGTAAAGGACAGTGATGACAGAGGTGTTAGAGAGTAGCTTGTCACCTGCCGTCTTTGCTTATGGCGTGGCTAGAAAGAAGGGTATCAGTACTCAGCCGGTCTTCCAGGCTTGCTTTTGACACCCGGTACTCCAACTCCTCTACACACAGCCAAGAGCCCCAAACATCACAAAGGTAAACACATTATAGTACGTAGTGTTTACAAGTAATTGAGTAACCACATTATAATTGAATCTGTAAATATGTACAGATACCTAAGCAGTTAAAAAAAAGGATCTTCACATATTGTGAGTCATATTAGGTCGAGACTTCCCATTAAGCTTATATATATGCTACTAAAACCAATAGATCGATTTTGAAACGTTTGCACAGAACCAAAATAAAGGAAAGCAATTATTGGCACCAATATCCTGTCACAAAATTATTGGCATTAAGGTCTACTGCATCACGCTATCATACATCTCTCAACAAAACACTTTTTGAAGTCATGTATGGCCATGCACCTCGGTTGTTGGGGATCGATGTGGAATCTGTTGACACCAGATTTTGGCACGGTCGAAAACATAATTAAGAAGACCTCCAATAGAAAAGTGCTCAAAGTGAGAAAGTTCTATATCGTCAAAAGGAGAAACTTTGCTTTTGGGCACATTTTCATCCGAGGTCATTTACTGCCTCAAAAACCTTGCCGCGGTGAACAGTAACCTTGTCGGGGAAGCTTGTCGAACAGAAGCTTGCTGGGTGAACAGCAATCTTGCCGCGGTGAACAAGTACCTTGCCCGCGGTGAACAGTAACGTTGCCGGGGGTGAACAGTAACCTTGCCGGGGGTGAACAGTAACCTTGCCGGGGAAGCTTGTCGGTGAATAGAAGCTTGCCGAGTGAACAGCAACCTTGCCGCGGTGGACAGTACCTTGCCGGGGGGTGAACAGTACCTTGCCGGGGAAGCTTGTCGCTGAACAGAAGTTGCCGGGTAAGCAGTAACCTTGCCGGATGAACAGTACCCTTGCCGCGTGAACAGTCCCTTGCCGGGTGAACAGTAATCTTGCCGCGTGAACAATGCCTTGCAGGGAAAACTTGCTGGGTGAACAGTACAAACTGTCAAGGCCAATCCGACCCGATGCTAAAGATTGGCTCAAATACTTATCTAGATGGTCTCGGATGGAAAAGTGATCAACATACGGATTGTTGGCCTCGTCGAAGCACACAAAATTGATATTTGAACCGTCTCCATCGGAAGTCATATGCAGATTCCACGGCCCACGCAAGGAGCAAGACTGAAGATTGGGCCAGATTCGGGCTGAATCCAAGTGGGACTAGAACTAGGACTCTAGGACGTGAATTGATGTAATTTTCTTCTAAAGAAAGCCTAGATGAGTCCTTTACTTGTACGGGAAGTCCAGCCGCCTCTTATATATGTTGGGGGTGATGGCCGATTGAACAACACACAATTGAACAATCAATATACTACTTTTTCATCTACGTTTTGTCTCTCCCTCGTTTTTCTCTCTCATTCTTCGTCGTTCTTCGTGTTGGAGAGCTGCGAGTACCGAGGCTCTAGGGGCGAGCGAATCGACCCAGGGCAGCCCATTGCCGCCGCACTCCCTGACGGGGTCCCTCCCGGGCGTGTGGGGTTTCGGGTCTTCAAAAGCGTCTGCCGGCTGTCTTGCGTATCACGCTGCCGGTCAGACCTCCTTCGACGTGAGCTGCGGTGCATCACCCCCGGCGTCGAGGGTACACGTGACGTGTTCGTGTGTCAACACACTTTTTGGCGACTCCGCTGGGGACAAAGATCAATCATCATCATCATCATCCATCATGTCTAGCAACGACAAGATTCCCAAGCCGTCAGAAATCAACGCCGATAACATAATCAAGCCCAATTTTGAGGAGTTATCGGAGGAACATCGCCAAGCTTATGAGGAGTACAAAAAGGCGCGTGAAGAGAAGGAGATGCAGGAGTTCCTTGCTAAGTTCAAGAAGGATCGCCAAGGCAACATCACTCCGGTTGGAGAAATCAAGTTTCCTCCTCTTCATGATGAGCAGTTAAAACCCTCTGTAAGTACTGCCTTTTCTCCCGAGCAGTGGGCTGAGATTGAGAGTCGTATTGCTGATGGTAATAATCTGGTCTATCAAACTTTCATAGAAAATACCAATGCTCAGAAAAATATGCCTCAATCATCTAGTGGTAATATTGGTGTGTCTGCTACTATAGAAAACCCTAATCTGTCTTTACCTCTTTCATCGGCACCTCCCATGCCGGTGAATTGTTACCCTGCCCACACCAATCAGATCGTGGCTGCACCTGCTAATCCCATCATGAACATGCCAAGTTCGGTGGCAACACCGAACCAAGCTTTACCTATAGGTACAAACACTCGACCACAGCCGAACTATGGTTCGGCATACATGCCACAGTTCCTACCTACTGCTAGTAATTCCACTCCTCCTATGCCATTATAGCAAGCTTCATCGTCTACTACAGACGATGCCCTAGCTAACTTTAGAGAGGAGATGGCTAAGATGCTTCGAGAGAATTTTGGAGTTGAGTTACCTCGAAATCGGATTTACCGAAAACCGTACCCCGAGTACTTTGACGCTGTCCAGTGCCCTCCAGGATATAAAGTTCCAGATTTTGTTAAGTTCAATGGAGAGGGCACAAAAACCACATGGGAGCATGTTAGTCAATATTTAGCACAATTGGGTGAAGCAGGATCGCTGAATGAGTTGAAAGTGCGTTTATTTCCTTTGTCATTAACTGGTACTGCGTTTTCATGGTTTTCTTCTTTGCCGCATGGTTCTATTCGTGTATGGTCGCAGCTAGAACAGAAATTTCATGATCACTTTTATAGGGGCGACAATGAACTTAAGTTGTCACATCTTACATCGGTTAAGCAGAAGCATGATGAATCGGTCTCCGATTACGTCAAGAGATTTAGAGATACAAAGAACCGGTGTTACAGTTTGGTGATAACCGAGAGAGACTTGGCAGACCTTGTGCTTAATGGTTTAAGAACTCACATTAGAGAAAAGTTAGAGGGCTATGAGTTTTTAAATATTAACCAAGTCCTACAAAGGACTTTGGCTCAAGAAAGCCGAAGCAAAGATCTTAAAGAGGTGCATAGATATAAAATCGATCGTCCTAAGATGAATATGGTTGAGTATGATAGTGATCATTCGGACGATGAGGTTGAAGTTTGTGCCACTGAATTTGTTTGGCCCTCAAAGGCCAAACCATTTACTTGCAATGATCTAAAGCCGATTCATAAGAATCGTGATGATGAGATGAAATTTACTTTTAACATTGCTAAGTGTGACAAAATATTTGATGCTTTGCTACAAGCTAAGATTATTAGGATATTTCATACTTTACCGCCGTTTGAAGAGCTGAAACGGCGTGCTTATTGCAAGTACCATAATTCTTTTTCTCATGCTACTAACGATTGCAATGTTTTTCGACGACAGATACAATCGGCCATTAATGACGGACGATTGAACTTTTCTGAGATGCAAGTTGATAAACAGCCCTTTCCAATAAATACCATGGATATGGAGGGGAAGAAGCTGCTCATTCGGCCAGAAGTAGCCGAATCTGCTAATAAATCCAATGTTGTCATAGGTGAGCCCAGGGAAAATAAGGAGAGCGACAAGGTCTTGGGGAGACAAGTTGTGCTTGACAAGCAACCCGGTGGCAAGGAGATAATCAA